CGCCCCGTTTCTGCTCCTCCCGCTGCCCGCGCCGTGCGTCCCGGCTCCGCTCCGCTCCTCTCCGTGCAGCCCGCCGCCCGCGCCGTGCGCCCCGGACCAGCTCAGCCGGCTACCCGCCTCCCTGAACCGCCGCCCCAGAGCGCCCGCGGCTGGGACGGAGCCGGCTTCCCGGCGCTGGCGCTTCCCGCCCGGGAGAGACAGCAAGTTGTTTGCGGCCCGGGACCCGGCAGGAGGCGGCCGCCGCGCGCCAGCCATGTAAGTGCCGTGCGCCGCGTCCCCTCTGCGTGGACACCCGGGCTGGCCTGGCCCTGCCTCCCTCTCCGCCGTGCGCCTCTGCCTCCGGGGGGTGCTGCCGGCCCATCCTCGTCTCCTCCCTTCTGGCGGGGCGGGCTGGAAATGCACCCCCGTCGGGATGGAGGCCACCCTGTGAGTCCCCGAGGGGCGGGTGGGGGAACGGCCAGCGTGGGGGCGCCTCAGCCTCGCGGAGACGGGGACCCCCATACCAGGCGCGCCGTCCCCAGCCTCGTGGTCCAGACAGCGCAACTTCTGTGGCTGACCTCAGTGGACGAGATAAAAGGGAAAAGTGGCCAGAGTGACAGCCAGATCGGGAAGGCAGCTCAGAGAAGGGTAGAGGCGAGGGATGGGAACGGGGCTGGGAGGGAAGGGGAGGGGTTCCCCGTGGAGCCTCACAGCTGGACGGGGGCGCTCTGGGTGGAGAGAGTCTGTAGGGTGGATTCGCTGGGCGCTTCAGCGGGCGTTTCTTTCTAGAAAGTCTGAACAGAGGCTTTGGAACTCTGGGCAAGGAAGCAGGTGAAGTGAGGGCACCCTTTGAATGACTGGGTCCTGGAGTGTCTCTTTCTATTTGCAAATGACACTCATTTGGTCTTTGAGCCAGAGAGGCTGAAAAAGAAATCTCCCGCAGAATCATTGCAGTTTATGAATCAAAATTGCAGATTTTGTTTTAAAAATGCAGATTTCAAAAAGAAATCTTGCTCAAGCTCCCGTTTCACTAGTAGAGGAGCATTGTTGAGACTGAAGGAATTCGCCAGCGCTGACGGATGAGCATTGCCTGATAATTGGAATGGCCAGTGTTTGTGGCGACATAATAATGGAATTTACAGTGCTCCGCCGGTGCAAAGAAGGATTCCAATATTTTTGTTTGGGCTCAAACAGAGAGCTCATGGCACCTTTAAAGGGACATGGAAAAGTTGTTGGGGACTATGAGTAGGGACTTCCTTGCATGCTAAATAAACAAACTGTGGCCTGGTGCATTTTATTTTCATATCCTGAATTATGTTTACTGCCAGTGAAAATGCCACCTTACTTTTAATGTGAGTATATGAAGTGAACTCACTGGCGTGGCAAGTAGAAGCCATGCATTTCTTTAAAGAAATAGCTTGTCAGAGTTAATTTAGGTCCAATTAGAGAAGTTGAAGACGCGTAAAAGCTTTGAGCTGGTTTTGTAAAATTTGAGTTCGGGACAAGCACTTATGATACAGAGAGCATTGTGCCAGGGAGAATGAGTTATTCTGACGTCTGGAGTGAGAGTGAGAAGTTGTAGACCAATCTTGTACCTGTCCCTGGTGGTGTCATGTGTAGAGTGGTAGGGCTGCCAGGAAGTCAGTGGTTCCAGTTCACCTGGCTCTCCTGGCAAAGATAAGGATTTACAGCCTCAGAAACTCTGTAGCAGTGGGCTCTAGACCTACTGACTGGACGTCACACTTCTCTGATGCATTTGATTTTTAACCTTTCCTGTTGTTTTCACCAGGGACCATCTCATTTACTACAGAGGAAAAGCAGTTGACGTGAAGTAGAACTGGAGATCCATTCTATTTCGAGACCCTCCTGTGGTACCTTGGAAGTGTGGGTTAACAGAAGAGCCTGGCTAGTTTCGTACCTTCACTGCCTCCTGCATTTACTCTGGACGCTGTTGCTGCATCTGCTGAAGCATGGCGTCCAGCCTGACTTGTACCGGAGTGATCTGGGCGCTGCTCTCCTTTCTTTGTGCTGCCACCTCCTGCGTGGGCTTCTTCATGCCTTACTGGCTCTGGGGATCACAGCTGGGCAAGCCTGTGTCCTTCGGCACTTTCCGGAGGTGCTCCTATCCTGTCCACGATGAGAGCCGGCAGATGATGGTCATGGTGGAGGAGTGTGGGCGCTACGCCTCCTTCCAAGGTATCCCCAGCACCGAGTGGAGGATCTGTACCATAGTGACCGGCCTGGGCTGTGGCCTCCTGCTCCTGGTGGCCTTGACCGCTCTCATGGGCTGCTGTGTGTCTGAGCTCATCTCCAGGACCGTCGGAAGAGTAGCTGGAGGAATTCAGTTCCTGGGGGGTAAGTGACTTGCTAAGCTTGTTTACTGGAATCCCAGATCAATATGGCAAATTACGATTCACTTGTCTACTTTGATTATCATAATTGACACTTGGAATGCACTGGAGAAACTGTGCCTGTGGTGATAAATGGGCAGAGTTAAAAGATGTTGACTGAAATTGCTTTCCAACTTCCAGCACTAGTTTCTGTACATCCTGAGATCTGAGCATCATTGACCTTCCTCAGCACACCACTTCTAATGAGGCAGTAATGTCTAGATTGTACCACAGGAGAAGAGACAGATGGGATTTTCTGGCTTTTTGGGCTTTATTGTCCAACACTAGGCAGCTTTACCAGAATACTCAGGTCCTTTGACTTTGTTGAAAAGCAGAAAAAAGTTTTTGATTAAACATAGTCATAGGAAGCCATTGATTCTTTTGAAGGAGGTAAAAATAGATTCTTGTTCAATCTTAAACTGTTTCTAAGTAAGTGATTACTGTTTAAAATTAGAGATTAATTTTATATTAATAACTGTAGCTCAAACTGACACAAAGATAGCTAACTGTAGGCTTCGATATTTTGTGAAGACTTAATGTCTTTCTGAGCATTGTTGTTGTTGCTGTTGTTAAGTCTCAGTCTGTTGAGGGGACTCCTGGCGACCCTGTGAACTTAAGACCTGAACACTTGTATAACTTTCATCGTTTTGGAGAGTTTCTGGAGGCAGGCTATTACAGAAGTGGAAGAGGATGCCACTCCTGCTTCCAAGCTTGTTTTAATCGGGGAGCGCCACCAAACACTGTCCACTGTGGGTAACCATTATCACATTTGACACATCAGTGTCACAGTGTTCAGCATTAACTGAAGAAAAAAGGTATTTCATGGATGATTTCTGCTTGTCCTACCTGGACTGGAGAGTTTCATTAACACAGGTGTTTGACTGTAGTTGGGTCTCTTCCAGCACACAGCATGTGTTGCTTCCATATCTCTGGTCATATGTTTTTAATAATTGTATTAATTTTGTTGTTGAGAGTCTATACGACAAAATATATGCTTGTAATTGGCCTATATGTATTTTTCCACTATGCTTTTCACACTCCATTCTTCAAAATAACGGACTAAATATGTCTGATTTGTAAAGTTAGAGTCCCACAAATTAGTACAGAGAAAAGAGATGACTCAGGTCTAGGAGACTAATAACTGATATTTGCAACTTTGTTACAAAGTAATATTTTGTTCTTCTATTTGGTGAGAATTTTCAGGATCTGGGGAAAAATCCAGAAAAAAAGAACCCTCCCCCAAACACATTAAGAGTATTCACTTTTGGGAGTTTATTCAAATTGGAGACTTTCTTGAGGGAATTTCAGGTTATGAAATGCAAAACTTTCAAATAATGTTTTAAGTTTGAAATTTCTTGTGCTACAAATGCAAATGAAAAAAATTTTCAAACTAGAGATAGAATTGTATCTATAGACTTTGATTTCTGTAGCCAATTCAGTTTCCCTCCCTTCTGGTTTTGCATTGTGGCTTTGGTTCTTTTTCTGACCAGGAGGAAGTTTTGGGGACTGTTCACTCCTGATCACTCCAGTGTTGGGCCCCGTGGGGTAGGTAGTTTTGGGTGCAGTTGTGTACATGCTGAGAGATACAGTGAAACTCTTAGGAAACACATTACAATTGTCTTTGAAAGTTGGAATATAAGACCTGAGTTTGTAAACTTGTCTATTCCACAGATTTTTAGTGCTTGTGATATTTTTTATAAACACCACAAGTATTTATAAAAATTTTTCTCTAAGAATTAACTTGCTCTTTGTGTGTTTACCACTTCGGCACTTCCACTTTCTCCTCTAAATGTTACTTTCCACTTCTTCGCTTCTTCCTTTTTAGACTAGATACTGCTATATTTGCCAGCGAAACAGGACAATGCTTATACAGAGAGATAAATCTTTATTGATTGCTTTTAAACGTACAATGAAGGCAGGCAACAGGAAGTGGGCTTGAGTTTCGCAAGATTTATGCTCCCCACTCTAAGTTGGGTATGGATTTTTTCGATGTGTATAGAACTAAGCGTTCTACTCTACAGAAATCCCCAGGGAAAGACCAGTGATGAAGGTCTATATTTTTTTAAAAGGACCAACCCCCCCCCCCATTTTGTTTGGTGTTTTTATTAACAGATGATAGTCTCTCCCTTTGCATAACATACCTGATAAAAAGAATTCTTCATCGAAATCCTAGAAGCTTCTTTTGTTTCTAACATTATGAGGGCACAAGTGAATACATGCCGTTAACAAAGCTGAGAGTAAGTTTAGCCTTAAAGACTTAATCATATGGAAAAGGACGCTCTGATGATCCGGAGGGAGTTATCTTGCTAACTCAGAGACCACAGCTTTGTGACAAGGTCTTTGAAAGAAACTTGGACAATCTCCTCCTGTGCTGTTTGTAGCCTCAGAAACCAACTCAGTAGGAGTTGATTCTGACCCAAAGGTAATGAGTTGGAATTTTTGAGACTATAAAAACAGATGGTATTTGTAAAAATTTCCATTTCTCTCTACCATTTAACAGATGAAAACCTGCCGTCAGGTTGATTCTAATTTATAATAACCTTCGGTCAAGGCTCTAAATCATTGTGAGAGGAGACAGTCCATCTATCTCCTGCAGAGAAGCTGGTGGATTTGAACCACCAGCCTTTGAGCTGATAGCACAACACATAACAAGTTGACAGGAATATTTCTAAAACAAGTTCCTTCTATTTAGTTAATAGTTGTTTGTGTTGGGTGTTCCCCCCCTCACAGGCTTATGTGGTGAGTAATTTTATGAAAGTTTTATAAAGCATCTGGGTTTCATAAAGGCTGCAAAATGCCAAACCTCTGAGTTATAAAATGCAATAGGTTGCAGTGTTTTGGGAATGTAGTCAGCATATGGGACTCTCTGCTCTGAGGCCAAACTCTTCCTAAAAATGATTTGCCCAGAAGGGTTATGTTTAGCTAACGTTAGAGTGGCTCCAAAAACAACAGGAAACAAGAGAATGGTAAAAAGCAGAGGCATCCTGCCCTCTCCGCCTGCGGAGCCAAGGGTTTGCACATATGGTGTACCAGCAGGCACGAAACCCCCGCTGCACCTTGGAACAAGTTAAAGGACACAGTGTCAGCCTTCACTTCCAGTCCTCCTGCTGTGATTGGCTAGAGGTTACAGTGTCACCCAGCAACCGATAGTACAACGTAAGAGAGGACTGTTGGTCATGGATATCTTCCATCTCGTGGAAATACAATCGCAAAGAATCAAAAGACTTGGCCCACTTTCTTTGTAGAGCCGTATATGTAAATTTTAACACCATATCCATCTCATGTAATAATAAGTCATAGTCTTGTCATAATTTGTAAAACTCAGTGTGGGTTGTGTTTCATCCCCCATTGAATTTATAAAAGGCATGTAGAAAACCTGTGGAAAAAGTATAAAATGTAATAAAAATCACCTAATTAAAATGTAATTAAAATGCCTGTTGGTAATGGTGCTATGACAGAGGAGAGGGGTTTGTGCTTTTTGTTAATGTAGTGAAATTTACAAAGTAAATTTGTTATTTTCAACTATTTATGAGTTTTTTGTTTTATAGCAGCATTGTAACAATACCCAAAGTGTAATTACAGTTTACCCACTTTATCCCTGTGATTCTCATTTCCATTAATCCTTCTGTTATACCTTTGCTTGTCTTTAGGATTTTATCCTTGGGGAAATGATGCTCTTTTGACTTTATGTTGGTTATTCTAATGCAGAAAATCTCCCTGCTATTGTTGTTAATTTTATAGGCCTGTCTCTTATTTAGCTGAAACTTGAGTCATGCGGGTGAGCTTTATTCCAGGATTGTAAGATGACAAGGGTGTAATCTTGCGGGTGGTTGTTGTTGTTAGGTTCCACTGAGTCGAGTCAAGTGCACTCATAGTGACCCTATGAACAAAGGCTCTGAACCCAGTCCTGTCCTGTGCCATCCTCACACTTTCTGACACACAAGAGCCCATTGCAGCAGTCACCTTGTCAATCCACCTGGTTGAGGGTCTTCCTCCAGCCCTCCACTCTTCCCAACATCATGTCCCTCTCCAAGGAATAGCACCTCTTAGCAGTATGTCCAAAGTATGTTAGGCGAAGCCTCACCATTCTTGCCTCCAAAGAGCACTCCGGCTGCACCCTCTCTGAGACGTATCTGTTTTCTTGGCTGTCCTGGAACCAGTTTTAAGCCTAACCTTTTTTATGTGTGGGTTTTTTTTTTGTTTGTTTGTTTTTTTAGTTTTGTTCCACATTTCTCGTCACCGTGTTCAGGACCTTGTACAGTGATCCCTTTTTACGTAGCCAGGGGGTGTGTGTGTCTAAAATGGTCTCATAACGCTATTCAGTATCAACCAAGTACCTTCAGCAGAAGCCTTTCCAGCTTACCTGCTCTTCTGATACAAGCAGTCAGAGAAGATCTGCTCCTCAACTAATTGGACGTGTCGTACTTCTTGGGACAGTGGGGACGGAGGGTTTCTGAGAGCGTCCTTTCATATGTAGTCAAAGCCTGTCCAGCGTCCTCTCGCTGTGGTGTGCTGCCTAATCTGTCATTCATCCTGCTGCAGGAGTTCTTGGGTCTTAGTTGTTGCAGCTCATGGTGTCTTGATGGAACAGCGGTTCAAGCACTTGGCTGTTAACCGAAAAGTTAATGGCTCGAACTTGAGTTGCTCCTGAGAACCACCAGTCAGGAGAAGGGTGAGGCCCGCTGCTTTAGGGCAGTTTTGCAGACTTGGAAGCCCTAGGAGCAGTCCTCCCCAGGGCTTTAGGGTCATGATGAGTGGTGGTTGACTCCACAGAAGTCCATTTGTCGTATTTTATGTGCCGCTCTATATGTTCCTTCACATCCAGGCTGGCTGTTAAGCAACAGCTGAATTAAAAAATTTTTTTTTCCTGGCCTATAAATGAGCATAGTGAGTTTTCGGTACCAATGTGTGTGTGTGTGTGTGTGTGTGTGTGTGTGTGTGTTTTCTTTTATTATTTTTGTGTGT